CAGTCCTTCTTCACCTTAAACGAAATAGGATGAGTTCATTTCATACATATGATCTGCTGGTAGTCTCGAGAGCCTACTTTTAAGCGAATAATGTATGTTGTTTTATTTCAACCCATTTGCGTGTGGACACGAGTGCCTCGCCTGTATGTACATTTATTTCACACTCGTGTACGTCAACTGCTAGTCCCTGTTCGTCGTCTGGCCACTTCTCAATCCTCCTTGCCTGACGGGGGGTTTTCGCAACGCGTTTGTGCCCAAGGCGTGTGGACTTTTCCTTCTACAAGAGCCATTAAGCTGTGAGGAGCAGTTTTGGGCAAGCAAATAGAATAGGAGCCACGAAACGCGTCTCCTTCAGGCAGTAGCGCAAACGACCTCTGAGCACTTTGTGTGGCTGGCAAAGTGAGATAGAATGGGGAGACATGCTGTGGTACAGTTCATACAACCAGTGTCTAATTACCATTCAAAGGTTACATTAATTAATCACCGGCACTCTGAGCAGTTGTTGGCGAGGCAAAATGCCAACAAAAAACGGCCACTCCCGTGGAAAGTCTATGAACACAGGGAGCAGCGTTAATGGAGCCTTTGCAGAAAGTATTGGCGGAAAAAATCACAATGTTTCACGGGATGCGTCGACGGTCCCGGTCCAAGCAACAATTGGTGATCCAGCGTCACGATCAACGTCAATTTGCTGCTTGACTGAGCTGAACCACATGGAATGTGCTCTGTGGGCTGGTCCATCAGAGGCTTCCAGCCCTGGCCCGGAGAACACTTTGACAACTTTAGGGTCCTGAAGGTTCACTACTTCTCCAGCAGGTTGTCTGGTGTCCTTATAGCGACGAGAATGTTTGATTTTTACAAGGAAAGGAAGTCATCATTCCGGCGCACAAGAGACCAAAGCATAGAAAGTCATCGAATTGGCATTATGGATAGCAACACGATAAATACCATGGAGACTAGAGATAGTTGGCCAAAAGTAGACGTAAACATGCAGAAAAACTGGCTTTTGAAGAATCTCTTAATAGGTTGATGTTGGAATAGCTTTCAGTTTACTTAAAGAGGCGATCGGAAGCGATTGGCAAGTTGGCCTCACCGGAAGCTGAAGGTGGATTGTCTTGGAATTGTGACTGTAGATTTGGGTGAATAGGTCGTCGGAACACCGTTCTGCGGCACTGATGAATCCTTGCTGACTGTTCGTCCGTCATGTGGTGGGCATCATCAGAGCGGGACAGCAT